AGAGAACAACTCAGGCCCAAAAGCAACGGCCCAAGCCCCAAAATAGCCCGAAATACATACTGGGGGTGCCTTCGGCCTCCTTGGCCGAAGGCTCCAGAAACTCACGAAGTAGCCCTCTCTGACATACGAAGCCACTGGGAGAAAACGGCGAAAAACATGAGCCTTCGGCATTACCAAGCCCTCGGCATCAGGGGAGCCTTCGGCTGAACTTACCCCCCTGCCACTCGGGGCCTTCGGCTACACAGGGGTCCTTGGTTACACGGAGCCCTCGGCTACACAAGAAGCCTTCGGCCAAGCATGCTCAATCATCGAAGATTCCTTTTAGAGACAGCCAACCACCGCATTTAATGCCACGTCGCATCCACCAACCGCATTCAATGCGGTTGACGTACCACTGCCGGTGCCACCAGGCTGATGTGACCCTTCGGCCGTTGGATTACTGACACGTGCCCTCTCATCGCATTTATTGCTGCTATAAATAGCAGCCCATTTCTCCTTGTAATGGACATCATCTGCGTCTCAACTCCACATCTCGAGTTCATTTAATAAAATCAACTCTCTCTCCTCCTATTTACTCTGACTTCTCTCTAGTTATTCCCGCAATAACCCCTCGGATAAGATACCCCCCGGGTAGACTATCCATCAGTATATATACAGACACTTTTTTTATACAAGACAACTAACGTTTTTGTACACCGATACTTGTTTTCCAACTAATTTTTTCACACCGACACTTTTTTTGTCAACACAGACAACTAACGTCTGTGTACACTGACACTTATTTTCCAACTAATTTTTTCACACCGACATTTTTTTGTCTACACAGACAACTAACGTCTGTGTACACCAACACTTGTTTTCCAACTAATTTTTTCACACCGACACTTTTTTGTCTACACAGACAACTAACGTCTGTGTACACCGACACTTGTTTTCCAACTAATTTTTTCACACCGACACTTTTTGTCTACACAGACAACTAACGTCTGTGTACACCGACACTTGTTTTCCAATTAATTTTTCACATCGACACTTTTTTGTTTACACAGACAACTAATGTCTGTGTACACCGACATTGGTTTCCGTGCAACCAGTCTGGCAGATCTAGAAACTAATTTTACTCACACCGACACTTTCAATGAAAGTGTCTGTATTTGTGTGTTTTTTGTCTGTGAGAAGGGTAAATAAATGGGTGTACGTGTACCCCAAGGTGTACACCAAGAACTATTGATTTTAGAAATCCACAAAAAAATCACGTATTTTGGCCTTACCCGCATGAAAGTCCCGTAATATTAGGAATCACCTCTTCTGGTGATGAAAATTGCTATAGGTACCTCACTTTTAACCCATTTTTTTTTTACCTCATATAAAAACCCTCCCACACTTTTCTTCTCCCCTCCCACCCTCCCCCACTTTTCGTCTCCCCTCCTACCCTCTCTCCTTTTTTTCACGCAGCCCCTCCATCCCCTCCCCTTTCTTTCTCTTTTCTCCAAATCTTGATTTCTTCGTCATTTCAAGATCTCTTCCTTGTTTAATACTTCTCATTTTTTCCATATTTCCCCCCTCCAAGCTTCTTCTCCTGCTTCTCTCCTCTTCCGCCTTTTTTTTTTCGTTTCAAATGCACGAGCTACAGTAATCGGACGAACGGGGAGAGCTCTGGTGATGTTGGATACATGGGGAGACAACAATGAAGGTGTAGAACAAGAAGCTTTGAATGACTTGAACAAATCTTCTTCTCTTGATTTTTTGGTGTGTTTTCGAAATTAAAAGAGTTGTCTGTCTGACAGACAACTTGTAAGTGCAGTGTCTGTCTGTCTGTAATTGATGGTTAATGGTTTTTCATTTGATTTGAGATGTCTGTATTTGTTTTGAGTTGTCTGTATGTAATTTGTGATGTTTATTTTTTGAGATGTAATTAGTATAACGAGACAGACATTAAATATACACATACAGATAATAAGTATACACATACAGACATTACTTTATTGTGAATTACTATTTTGACATATGTTTCATAAAAAAGACAGACAATACGTATAACTAGACAGGCATTATTTTTCACCACAAATTACATACAACTCACAATGAAATGACAACAAACTAAATATGAGTTACAGACACCTCACAACAACATAACCGATAATTCATTACAGACAACTCAAACAAATACAGACAACTAATAAACAAATGACAAAAAATTAAATATCAATTACAGACATTTATTTTTCAAAGGACAGACAACTTCACGACTCTTACAGACACTGCACTTACAAGTTGTCTGGCAGACAGACAACTCCTTTTATTTCCAAAATACATCAAAAATCAAGAAAACAAAATCAAGAAAAGAATATTTGTTGCTCAAGTTATTCAAAGCCTCTTGGTATGCCTTCGTCGTTGTATTCCCTTGAGGTTGCATCCGAAATGACAACCGGCATAGGGCCGCCGTCGGCAACGTCACCGGTGGAAGAGGAGTTGAGCAGGAGAAGATCGGAGGTTGAAGGGAGGAAGATGATAAAAATGGGAAGTTTTAAAGAAGGGGAAATATATTGAAATGGAGAAGAAAGGGGAAGGGAGGGGGCTGCATGAAAAAGAGGAGAGGGAGGGAGGGAGGAAGAGAGGTGGGGGTGCAGGAGAGAGGGAAGAGGGAAGAAGAAAAGTGGGGGTGAGTTTTTATATGGGGTACAAATGGGGTAGGGTTTGGGGTACCTATAACAAAATTGTCTAGTGATACCAATCCTCCTAGTGCTCTTCAGTAGGCCGGTCAAACCTTTTTTTTGACCAGCAACAATATTATTTGCGGTGGTCAAATTGTAATCCTGTTTAATATTTCAATTGAGAAAAGGGTCAAATAAGACCTTCTACTATTATGAAATCGTCACATAAGGCCATGTACCCAATAAAGTGTCATATAAATACGTTTACTTGTAAAAAGCAATCAAATGAGTCCTAACGACCTATTTACAACCTCCTAATCCCGACTTTAGCTTGCATGTCGATTTTTTTTATTTGTATTTCAACCAATCTTAGTTAAATATTCGACGTCTGTCGTATAATCTATTCTAAAAAGATGGTTACAAGCACCCTAAAACCGGGATTAAGAGGTGTTAAATAGGTCATTAAGACTCATTTGATTGCTTTTTACAAGTAGATGTATTTATATAACACTTTATTAAGTACATGACCTTATGTGACTACTGACTATTTCATAATAGTAGACGACCTTATTTGATTCTTCATCAATATAGTAAGTTTTTGTGATCAAAATGTGAATAAAATAAAATTGACATGTGTACGGTTGGTGTTCCTTCTTAAAAGCTTTTAAAATTGCATTTTTTAAAAAAAACCTTTTAAAATTGCAATTTCTTCTTAAAACATAGGGGTCCAGTCAACTTTCATGTTTCTTAGACCATTTGGAATGGTGAGGTATTAGACCATTTGGAGTGGTGAGATATTAGGAGTCCAAAATGCTAAATGTACAATTTTTGAACTCCTAATTGTGTGTAGTAGTAGTTTAAAATGTGTATTAAAAATGGAAGAGGGGATGAAAGGTATTAAATAGGGTTGGTTAAGAGGGGAGTGGTAAAAAGAAAAAGAAAGAAAAAGAAGAGAAAAAAGAACACAGGTTGCTTTTCTGGTGCGGATGATGTCATGCTGATGTCATCCCTGCATCATAATATCCCAAAAGAATTTAAACTTGTATAACTTTTTTAGTTTTTATCCAAAGTTTTCAAAAAGTATATCAAAATTCATAAATTTTTATGATCTTTCATATGACACCAATATGTGATATACAAAAATGATTTTTTTTAAGTTTTAACTGTTGAAGTTTTCTTGAGCCCCGGAAAAACATGAAATACAAATCTTTAATTCATGAAGCCTTCACAAATAATTGAATATTCCATAATCGAACTTTACTTGAATTAAGTTCATATTTTGTTAACCAAAAAACGTTAAAAAAATTATTTAAATTTATTTATTTTTACATCGAAATATGTATTTTTTATTTCATAATTATTCAGCGAAAAAATTAAAAGGAAAACATTATTTATAATAATTTAATTAATGTTTTTCTAAGTTGATAGGTTAAAATATATGATGAGTGTATTTTATTGACGGTGCTTGAATGCAGGAAAGTGGAAGTCTAAACACTGTTTTCATATGGAAGGAGCCCATATTTAACAATTTGGCCTCTCAACCACTCCAAATGGTCTTAGGAGTCCAAAATGCTAAATGTAGAATTTTTGGACTCCTAATTGTGTGTAGTGGTAGTTTAAAATGAGTATTAAAAATGGAAGAGGGGATGGAAGGTATTAAATATAGAGGGTTGGTTAAGAGGGGAGTGGGAAAAAGAAAAAGAAAGAAAAAGAAGAGAAAAAAGAACACAGGTTGCTTTTCTGGTGCGGATGATGTCATCCCAGCATCATAATATCCCAAAAAAATTTAAATTTGTATAATTTTTTAATTTTTTATCCAAATTTTTCAAAAAGTATATATCAAAATTCATAAATTTTTGTGAACTTTCATATGACACCAATATGTAATATATAAAAATGATTTTTTTTTAAGTTTTAACTGTTGAAGTTTTCTTGAGCCCCGGAAAAACATGAAACACAAATCTTTAATTCATGAAGTCTTCACAAATAATTGGATATTCCATAATCGAACTTTACTTGAATTAAGTTCATATTTTGTTAACCAAAAAACGTTAAAAAATTATATAAATTTATTTATTTTTACATCGAAATATGTATTTTTTATTTCATAATTATTCAACGAAAAAATTAAAAGGAAAACATTATTTATAATAATTTAATTAATGTTTTTCTAAGTTGATATATTTAAATATATGTTGAGAGTATTTTATTGACGGTGCTGGAATGCAGGAAAATGAGAGTCTAAGTACTGTTTTCATACGGACGGAATCCATATTTAACAATTTGGTCTCTCAACCACTACAATGTTAAATAATACTCCGTACAAGTCAATGAAAGGCGGCGTTTACTATTTTTGTTTACATATATATTCAAGTTTGTGGATTAGAAAATACTCGTAGATTTTACAATCCCAACCCAACCTCGTGCCCCGTCGAACGAGATCTTTAGGATCTTGAATACTACGCAGTAATCTTCCCTCAATCAAACATTCTTATACATGGCAGCGGAGTCGAGTAAGCCCCAGTCAGTCTACGATTTCACCGTTAAGGTCTGTCTGTTTTTAGCTCTTTGCTATTCTGATTTTGCTTTTTGATTCATCGTATCTGTGAATTATGAGGACTATGCATATCTACTCCGTGTACTAACTATGTTTTCCCTCTTTCTCAAAAATGGGTTGTTCACTTTTCGTTTTTGAACTTTATTACATCTTTTTGGAACAGAAGGATGAAATCTGGCTAAAGGTGATTATTAATTTAATAATTCTATAAAGTGACGTACTTGTTATGAATAGGAGGTTATGTGTTGAACATTTCTGGTAATATATGCTCTCTAGGGCTTGCTGTTCAGCTAATAGGAAGAATAGGAAAAAACAGAGGAGGGTGGGGACTTTTGAACAATGATGTTTGCAGTTAAACTAAAAGAAAGTTGTTTGATTCTAGAGATTATGGTTAGTAGGCTTCTCATGGATGATCAGAAAGAATGCTAAGTGATGCTAATAGAGTTCACATGCTGCTTAATTATACTTTACGGAGTATTTGTGTTTAGCCCATGTAGTTGATTCACTTGGTTCGCGCTTGGCAGTAAATTGAAGCTCTCACTTTGTATCACATTTGAATCCGGTCATCCGGCTTTCAGAAAAATAAAATTCCCTTTTGTAACGTCCAAACAGCTTTGAAAAGCATCCATTCAAAGAGTGTTTGCAAAAGATTAAAATTTAAAAACATTTTTATTTAGTTTTTGTTTAAAATAGCTGAAATTAGTGTTTCGAAGTGACAACTTCTTAAGCTGGAAGCATGTGGAGTGGTGCTTTAAAATATTTTTCATTTTTTATATTGCACAAAAAATTACTATTTTACTAAGGCTTTGTTTGCAAACACAACTCGGAAGTGCTTTTAACTTTTTTAAATGATTTGGTAAAAAAGTGATTAATAGTAAAAGTTGGTAGTGTTTGAGAAAAAATTGATTTTGAAAAGTAAAAGTTGGTTGTGTTTGGTAAAATAAGTGCTTTTTGTGTAATAGAAAAAGTAAAAAGTAGATTCTAGCTTTTAGCTTTTAAGTAATTCATTTAAGTAGAAGTTGTCATTTGAAAACATCTTTTTTAGCTTTTTTAAGTCAAAAGCTAGGAAGTGCTTTTTTAGTTGTGTTTGCAAACAGAGCCTAAGCACTACCAGCTTGGCAGCTTGTACTTTTTCAAAATCACTTTTTCAAAGACAGCCAACGTTTAGTATTGAGCACTATGTTTAAAATTACTCAAAAATAGCTTTTTAAAGTAGAAACAACTACAAATACTCCCTTAAATTCAAAAGTCATCAATCTCTATATCATAGAAAGTGCTTTCACTTTAATGAGTGGACTTTTTGAAAAACCCATCAACTCATTTTTAACTAACTGCCTTTAAAGATGTGGGGAGGTGGGGAGAGGAGAGGGAGGGGACGACAGTACAAATGTGGATTAGAGTGGGTAACAATGATGTGATACTTCTTGAGTTAGATGAGAGTATGCCTTTGGATTGGGCGAAAAGGAGAAAATATATGTGTGGAGGATTGATTTAATTTTGTTAGTATCCCTTCCTTCCCTTTTTCTATTGATTGCTTTTTTAATTCCAATGTCATACCTCTAAAGATGGACTTTCTTTGAGTCGGCCAAAATCAAACAAACTTTTTTAGATGTGTCTATATTATTATGTTTTCTTCAAGGGGGCAAGTGGGCTGCAACTATCTCAAGATGGGTGGGCCATAAGAGTGTGAAGTGTGGAATACTGGAATGATTAAAATTGGATGCCATAACTAAATCACTGAATGACTTGGTTGCTGTTGTTTCTGTTTTTGTTGTTGTTCCTACCTGTTATGTGATTGATGAAATAGTAGAGCTCTTCTCACATGTTACCAGAATGCTAAAGGAGAGGATGTTGAACTTAGTGCTTACAAGGGAAAGGTCCTTTTGATTGTGAATGTTGCATCACAGTGGTATGTCAGTTTTCTGTACTAAAATATTAATGATTCATTTTGATGAAGGTTTAAAAAGGCTAGTTTGTGTATCGGTCTGGAAAGGCTAGGCGTAAGCCTCAAGAGTTGAACTATCAAAAACCAACTAACGATATGCATAATTATAAGTCCAAAAAGTCTCGAGCACAAACACATTTTATGGTTACAACATCATGATTCATGCATGATAGTTCAAATTGAAATTCAACACAAACAAACACATCGCACAAATGAAACAATTTAAGACTGACACAATATAGAATAGAAATCCAGAAGCCTAATCATCATAATCATCATGGCTTGAGGTACCTGGAAGAAAGGTAGAAGATTTTCGACTTATTGAAGCAGAAGGTTGAGCAGTTAGAGTTGTCAACTACTTTTGTGCAGTATTTGATAGATGCTGTCAGACTTCTTAGGGTTTAGCACATGGACACATGATTAATGTATGGGTCTTTCTTAAAATAAAATTTACTCACTGGGCTTTTTTAAGAACAATTCTTGGTGTGCATGCCGTTTTACATGCCCCGTATATTTTGTCTATGTCACAGACAACTTTTGCGTTTTATAGATGAATTGCCGAACAAAATGTTCAAAACGTGTACAAATGGCGTGTACAAATGGTATTTTCTTTTTTTAACACACTAAAAGAAAAGAAGAAAGAAAAGAAACTGCCTAAAAATGCCTTCAGGTGTACCCTCTTATCTTGCTAAAAGGGCGTAAGCCTAAAATACTTTTTTTGTGCACCTCAAACACGCCTCCTAAGCGCCCTTTATAACCATGATTTAGACTAATCTGTTTTGCTGCATTGCAGTGGCCTGACAAACTCAAATTACGGTGAATTGAAGACATTGTATGAGCAATACAAGGACAAAGGTTTGATGTTTTTCTTTTGTTTCCTGAAGACAGAAACTAGAGATTGTCATGTTAAGAATATTTCTTTTGTTCACAGTCCAAGGGTATGTTTGCTTCTATACAGAAAAGTCTAAAGGACAATGAAGTAAGATTAATAATTTAATTCTCCCTACGTCCCAATTTGATGTTCCCGTTGCGGTTTACGATGCTTGACGGACGATAAAGCAAACGGATCCCTATCTGCACTTAAATTATTTTTGAAAAAAAATTACATATTCAGAAACTACATTAAAAGCTTTACAAAGTCGGAAAAACCAGAATCAAATTTGATAAAAGTTTGATATATGAAGTAAGAGATTAAGAGTGATTTGTGTTGACCAAATAAATAGGAATTGATAACATCAAATTGTGACGGAGGTAGTATATGTTTAGATTTCTTTACCTCTATTAAGTAGTAATAGATGTATAAAATGAGTTTGAACAAATATCCATTTTTTTTAAGTTTGGTCAAAAGTTCCCCCTCTCACATTTTCCGTCCGAATGTCACTGTTCGTAGCATTATATTTTGAATTTCAAAGAGATCATAAAGAAAGGCAATTTTTCCTGAAAATACTTTCATCTCCTCTCTCAATCTGAGATTTTTTTAAATATTATTAAGATTGAGTATATTCAACCTAACAACAGGTTTGGAGATTCTTGCGTTCCCTTGCAACCAATTTGCTGGCCAAGAGCCTGGCACAGATGAAGAAATCTTGGAAACGGCATGTACCCGCTTCAAGGCTGAATTTCCCATTTTCGGAAAGGTTGATGGTTATTCGCATTCAGTTTTAGTTAATTTAGTGAGTCATTTCATGGAAGGTGAGTCTTGGCTCATTGACTAAGGTGTTGTTGTGTGACCTCTTGTTAACCGGAGAAAGCTTGCCCCTTACACACCGAGAGGTCACGAGTTCAAGTCTTGGGAGTAGCCTCTTGTTAACCGGAGAAAGCTTGCCCCTTACACACCTTGACAGTGGGACCCTTCCCCGGACCCTCGTCTTGCGGGATGCCCTCGTGTGCCAGGTTGCCTTTTAGTGAGTCATTTTATGATCTCTGTAATCATTCATGGATTGTAAAATTTGATGTGTTAGGTTGATGTTAATGGTAAGGGTGCTGCTCCGCTTTACCAGTTCTTGAAGGCAAGCAAAGGTGGATTTTTGGGCAATGATATCAAGTGGAATTTTTCTAAATTCCTTGTTGACAAAGAGGGAAAGGTTGTGGATCGCTATGCTCCCACTACATCTCCGTTAAGCATAAAGGTAAAGCAAGGCCTGTTCACTAAGGGTCTGGAGGGTTTTGGATGGAATAGTAATTTAGAATCTTTGATATAATTTGGGATTTTACAAAGGTAAAATATCATTTACCCCCTTGAGATTTTGGGATACACTATTTAATATGCTCTTTCCCCTATCTTTAAATGAGGTTGCCTAAAATCTAATTTAACTTTTAAAATATGAAAGTGTCCCTCTAACCGTACAATCCTTAGTGCAATATACTGTTCACACAGTTGGACAGTATATATTGAATAAACTGTAAGGGATAAAAATTGAATCAATCAAAATCGAATAAAACAAAAACTGAGTATTTGTTAAGTGAACTCTAGATGTGGCTTGGTTTATGATTTTGGATTTGAAATCAATCAAATCATTAAAAGTCGACCAAAACATGCTAAAATTGACTGAAACTCACAGAAATTATTCAGAAATTAACCGAAACCAACCTAAGCAGTACAGTTCGGTCTTCGATTTCACCATTTTCAAAATAGACCATAAAAAACTTATCAGATGAACACCCCTGATTTTCAGTTTAGAAACTTTCTGTTCTCACAAATGAAATATAACTTGTAAATTAACAAATTATAAATTATGAATATGCTTACACGTGAATCATGAAAATAAGCATTTGTGCGGACAAACTTAAAGTAGATATAGTAGTATCCTAAAACTCATCCATCAACATATGTTTAGATATAGAAATAATATTTCAGAAGTTTAAAACTCAACCAATACTATGTCTTGTTTAAAAAAAACCAATAATATGTCTAAATAATATCCATTTAAGCTTTCTGAATATTTTTATTATATCTAAAAATGTGTTGGTGGTTGATTTTTAGGACTCAAACAATCTCATAATCTCAGTTTTCAGTTTTAGCGTACGTCTTACTATCTTTTTAAAATAGATTATATTATTGAGGTGAAAATGTGGAATATTTAATTATGATTGACTTAAATACAAGATAAAAATAACGACATGTGAGCTAAACTCGTGATTAAGAGGTTGTCAATGGGTCATCAGGACTCATTCAATTGCTTTTTATAATTAGGTGTATTTATATGACACTTTATTGAGTACATGACCATATGTGATGATTTCATAATAGTAGAAGGCCTTATTTGACCTTAGCATATTGTGATCGTATGGCATTTCAATTAGTTTTTATCATTTTTAGAAATGCAGCCTGTTTGATACGATTCATTTGGGAGAAGTGGCCAAATGGGTTAAATTTTGTGAAAGGAAAAGTGTGATAAAATCCATTTTAACAAAATATGAATAAGTAAAAAACTACTTGAACAGTCTTTGAGTCTTTGAGAAAGCAAAAACAACCTACTAAATGAACTATAAGCATTCTATAACCCTCGATCCAAGTATTTAGTGTAAATTTTGCTATTGTTCTATGTACAATCAATCTCTCTTCTTTTATGTTATTGTAGAAGGACATTGAGAAACTGCTGCCCCAGACATCTTAAACCTGTTCTACTCCTCCCAAATGATATGTGTGCTATTATTGTTGTTGATGATGTTGCTGATATTTCACGCCTTAAATTAAATTATGAAAGTCCAAAATGTGGATGTGAATAAATGCAAGCCCGCTTTGTAGTTGCTTGCTAGTTGCTGCATATATATACATCGTGGTGTATTTTAAAAGGGGTTAATCCTTGTATTCCCTGCCGTCAATAATTCAAGTATTGACTATACGTCTATACCAATATGAAATTACTGTAATTTTCTTTCAATCTAGTTTTTGTATGGGGATTGGACAACAATACTACAAAATGAAAACTCATGAATAAATATAAGATGAATTTTAATAGTTTTCAAAAAGAAATTGTGATGTGGATTAGCCTAACGCTGCTAGGGCCTAGGGTAAGGACTCAGGGCCGGGTCTTGAGGGGGTGCAACAGGGACGGTTGCCCTAGGCTCAAAAATATAGAGGGAGAGAGAAAAATAGGTTCAAATTATTTTCTGCATATATAGTGTGGATGTGCTTCTTTTTATTTTTTGTTGACCATTTGAAAAAATAGAACATAAGTAAAATGTCTTGAATGAAATCAAGTTTTAAAAAAGAATATACATTAAAAGACATTTAAAAGACATGTTTTTGCATCTTCACAACTCTTTAGAGTTTAATGCTTTTTATTCATTTTAAGTGATTATTGTTGATTTTGCTTCACATTGTTATGCGAGAAATGTTTTAAGTAATATTTTTTCTTTTTATGTAATATTTGTGTTGTTATTTTGACCCAAATACATAATTTAAATAATAGTAAAGTGATTTTACCTTCATTTTATGACTCTTCATTAAATATAAGCCTAATATAGTATCTTGCTCACAGGTCCAGAAATGGGCAGGATGGGTCTTGGGTAAGATGGGGGTCGCGCGAAGATTTGTCTTTGTTGTCAATGGAAAATTTGAATAACCTTGATCACATTTTCAAGATAAGACTCTCCGGTATTAGTATTGTAAGATGAAATTACCGGGGTTTAGGGAACTTGGCAACAGTCCAAGTGTTGGGGGATATGGTTCAGCATAGAAAGCGTGTGGTGGTCTTTCTAATGGAGACAAAGGTGTAACAGTGATAGATGCGAGCCTGTCTAAAATGAGAAATGATCTTTGTACACACTGTACGCATTACTACACAGTACACACTATAAATACCATATGTTTTTATCATTTCACATTTATCATCCTCCCTCTCTACTATTTCCCTCTCTCCTCTCTTCTCCCTACGGTTCCCCTCCTTACTCACCATCTTCTTTAGTTTTTCTTCCATCATTACTTTCATCTTCACCCAACCTCCATATTCATCATCTTGTGTCATCCTTCATCTCCACCGCCATCTTTCATCTTTATCATTTTACTCTTCATCATTTTCTATCTTTCACATTCCATCTTTCATTTCTTAAGATCCGTCGGAGATGGAGAATCGTCGGAAAACCAAATCAGAGATGAGCAAATACAGAATCTTCTGTCTAAATCCTCTTTTGACTTCTTAAATGTTGATAAAGTTTGTTTGTACGACAAATTAAAACTTAAAATGTATAAATAAAAATCACGGGAAAACAATTGGAGATGTTAAGTCACCGGAATTATTATTTGTATCTTCTTAATTAATTGTATGTATTGTCCAAAATAGTAGCATGGTTTGAACAAATAATACTGAAAAATTAGTAAATGTCTGTAAAATTAAACTAATATGGTTTGTCTGTGTGCTAAAATCATACTAAAATAATATGATTGCCCGTGGCGCATGAGAAATGTTTGTGCTTGTACATTTTTGTCTGTGCCAAACATTTTTTGTCTATGAAAGACAACTAATGTTTGTATATGGACATTGATTGTTGTGTCTTTTTTGCAAAGATGGCAGTGTTTATGGTACAAAAACCAATGTCTGTGTACATATATTAAATGTTTGTGGCACTTGAGAAATGTTAGTACTTGTATTTTTTTTCTGTGCCGAATATTTTTTTGCTTGTGGAAGACATCTAATGTTAGTACACATACACTGATTTTTGTGACTTTTTTTGCAAAGATGGCACTGATTATGGCATAGAAACCAATTTCTGTGTACATATATTAATTGTCTATACTTCTACATTTTTTTATGTGCCATATATTTTTTTGTCTGTGGAAGAAAACTAGCTCATCACTTTGAATGATACAAACAACACCTCACATTTATTTTCCGGCGTCTTTTACTTATGTTGGTTTTCCGATGACTTAATTAAAGTTTTTCAATTTTATTTCTTAATAAAGACAAAGTCTATTAATGCGTAGTATACAGGAAGTAACAGGCGATTCAAATATACGATACAGACATAACGACTAATCATCTCTGGATTGATTTTCTGACTACTCTCCATCTCCGGTGAATCTTAAAAATGAAAGATGAAAATGATGATGATGAAAATGATAAAGATGGAAGATGGTGTTTGAGATGAAACTTGACACAAAATTATGAAGATGGAAGGGGTGAAGATGAAGGTGATGAAGATTGAAAGAAAAAGATTGATGAAGGTTGGCATACTTAAAAACTCACGATGTCAAGAGAATAATGTGGAATTTCAAGAGGTTAAGTCTTGTTTGGTGAATCTTCTGGATCAATAGAATGCATGTATTTTTAAAGACATAGCTAAGGAATTTTGGCTTAAAGAAGGAGATATGAATACCAAGTATTTTCATAACATTTTTAAACATAGGCGGAGGAGAAACAAAAGGATCAGTCTCTAAGCGAGCAATGGAGAATAGATCACAGATAGAGGCCAATCAGGCCAGCTGGAAATATGGCGACTTATTATTTTCAGAGTTGTTTACATTAAAATGCAGTAAAAGGAACATATCTTATTTGCATGGTCTAGCTAGTATATCTTCTTGAGAATGAATGTCTGCTAAGGCCAATCAACTCAAGTGAGGTAAAAAGAGCGGTGTTCGCTATGCACGCCTGAAAAGACTCATGAATCAGATGGTTTGAGTCTTTGTTTTTCAATATTATTAGGAGGTCAGGCGACAGGCAACTTCAAAGGAGGTAAACCTTACTAACATTATACTTATTCTCATGAAAGAGAAACTAGAAGGGGTGGGGGGGCCTATAGACCTGTGTTTGGTTATTAATAAATTTTTTACAAAAATTTTAGACAAATCATTTGAAGTTTATGTTGGACCAGCTAGGTTCTATTAATCGAAGTGCTTAAAAGAAAGTCATCATTATCTTAAAAGAAAGACGTGAGGCAAAGATGATTTTGTTGCACTTAAATTGGATATGAGAAAGGTTTATGATGCGGTAGAATTGCGTTTTCTATTTGAGGTGATACGAGCCATGAAGTTTGCACCAAAATGGATTCAACTAATACAGGAGTGTGTTTTCAATTGAGTATGTTGTCCCTTTTGATAATAATGATCTAAATTCATTATTCTAAACGTGGTCTAAACCAAGAGATTCCCTTTCTCCATATTTGTTTACTTTAGTGACAGGCGTAGCTTACTCATCACAAAGCAAAAAAAAAAAAAAAAAAAAAAAAAAACTGGAAAAAGTAAATTCAGTTTAGGTGCCAAAGGATACAGCGAGGGCATCCTTTTTATTATTTGCTGATGACAATTTTTTATTGTTTAGGGAGTAGGAAAATGAATGCAACGTCATAAATGAGATTTTGCATACCTTTGCTTCGGTTTAAGGGTAAATGTGTATATAGGATCAATCAATTTTTGAACTAAATAAATCCGTTATTTATATATGAATACTCACATTGTTAGATCCTCTTCCCAAATTTTATATAGAAGGGATGTAGTAATAACAGTATAACACTACTTGTCCCACTTTGAAAACTTTATACTCATTATTTTTTAGATTTAATAAATAAATTCAAACTATTACTTTTTGGCAAGAATAAATTCAAACTATTATTTTTTGGCAAGAATAAATTCAAACTATTATGTCAAGTGAAAGTACTATTGAATAATACTTCTTCACCATAAACAAAAAGCTCAATCTATTACTACATAGTAACGATAGAAGATCATTTTTGAAATTTTTTGATTTGATTTTTTTTCTTTATTTTATTAGTAAATGATATTTTAAATATAACTTTTCATAAATAAACAAAAGCTCTACCGTGAATCAAGTCATTTCAACCAAAAACTCATAAATTTAGTGTTTCAGAAAAGCTCTATATACCCACTAATCCACGTTGAAATCCAAAATGTGTGTACAATCGTCAACCTTGAAATGAAAATACTCCCATTTTCCTTTTAAAAAGGCAACTGCTTTCAAAACAGGTGTAATTAAAATGAAAAAGTGAGAGGGTTGGACCAGAATTGAATTTGTTGATTCAATTTGGAGTATAAAAGATTCTCTAAGTCAAAATTGGGTCAACATGTAGAATACCAAAAATGAGACTGCTGAGACCAGCTTGAACGATAACATAATTGATTCTCAATCATTCATCCATACATGTTGGTCCAAAAACTGGAGCCGATAGTCCCCATCAAGTACATATATGAGTACGTTTCAACGAATGGCCACTACTTAGAGCTCGCTTTTCCCATTATTTCTCTACTTACTACTCATCATCTAACTACACCCCACCACTACATAGCACAAACTAGGCAAACACAGATCGACATGAAAAGGACATCAGCACGAACGCCGCCAGCTCAACTTCGCCGTATTTCCTCCTCTGCAGCGACGATCTTGGCCTCTGAAGTGCCACTTCTCTCCCAAAAGGCAAGAACTTCCGCCCTGCCACCGTCGGCCGTAGTGCTTGTTGATTCACCCGGCTCTTGACACCGCCGCTGCTTCCGCTACAGCTCTCGCTGGTGGTTCCGCTGCAATTGCTGCTATTCTGTTGATCTGAGTTCTTGATCACGGCTGATTTCTTCTGCTTCTTGTCATCTTTGTTAATGGCCAGAAGTGCCCTTCTCTTTTTCCTACTTCTGATCCCACAAGCATTGCAAAGAGACTGCATTTTGACACGAAATGAAAAGGATTAGCGATAAATCTAAAAAGCGGCCACAATTAAGATAATAAAAATGAAATAAAAGAGCTGAAATGGGCTTGTTGGGGATCAATGAATCAGCTATCGGACCAGACCTTAGGGCCAGCTGGGCCGCCTCTCCAGAGAGGAGTCTTCGAGGTTCCACAATCAGCACACGTCTTGATCTGGCTTGTTGTATCTGGAGATAGCCTTTCTGGGCTTTGTGCTACGCTATTCATCTCTTCCGATTCTGATCCCTTCATTTTACAAAAAAAAAGTTCAAAATCAAATCTTAAACTCATAAAAAAGGACGATGAAGTACAGAGACAGAGTAGCAGCAGATAGAGGTAACTCACTCCTTGATCACTTAGATCCACCATTAGAGCAACTAAATCGACGATCGGACCGAAGCAGAGAGAAGTACTATGATTTCCGGCAGCTTATACACACTCCAATCGCGAACTGTTCTACTTCAAATCACACTCTGATCAGATCACTTACTGTGAGTTGGAGGGAGAAAGCTGTTGAAGCTGATCTCTCCGGCGAAATTAAGCTAGAAACGCCATGAATAACCAGAATCTGTGGAGACCGACAAGTAGAAGAGAAGGAAGAAGGGGATAGAGCCGAGGCTGATCTAGAATGAATGCTTGAACGAAAGAGAGAAATTTGTGGTGGTGGGTTATAAGGGAGAGGGGTGTACGAAACCCTAGCCGCGCGCGGGAATACGAAAAGACTGGAAAGTCCTCGGTCGCGATGTTTTATATCCGACCGTTTAACCCCGCCAAATTGTGTGTGGACCATACAGTCCCATCGGGGAGGGAACGGGATGGGCGCTCTGATTTCGGATTGGATTGTTTCGGAGGGGTAATTGTGGGAATTGGGACTTTTGGGGGGAATGATGGATTTTCGGCGTTTGCCGTTTTTCAATTTTGCCAAAACAAAAGTTCCAAGCGGTCAAATTCTTAGGGTTTTCAAATTTGGCACTACAAAAAGCCAACCATTTCCCACCAAAAGAATTTACTCCGTATTTGTTTTTAATGTAATAATAATAATAATAATAATAATAATAATAATAATAATAATAATAATAATAATAATAATAATAATAATAATAATAATAATAAAAAGGTTCCTACCCCAAAGTTGCAAATCATCAACATTTCCTATTGGCGCCTAGTCGAATAAATATTCAAAACAAAATTTCTACTTGTATACAAAATTTCCCGCAACGATGATTTTAGGGTGTGTTTGAAAAACCATGTTTCAACTAAAAATAGCAATTTAAACTTTTTAACACTTTTTAACACTTTTTGATGTTAGGGTTTTGAAAATAGTGCATTGCCTACCAATCGCTACAGCCAAACAACTAATTACCAAACGTCTTTTTGCAATACGGCAACTTATTTCGCTAGCCAAACGTGTTGACTGAATACACTATTAACAACTTACTAACACAATTTCTTATTCTTTAATTCCTAACCGCTTAATGTTAAACACATTCTTTATTAATTTGCGGGAAAATTGCACTTTTAATCCTTGAAATAGTCACGAAAATGAAATGTCGAATCCGCATTTCTAATATTGTAAATGTTGCCCTCAATTGTCCAAATTGTTGTAAATGTGGTCCTTTAAGGGGTGAAATGTACTCTCGCCTACATTGTATATTTTACCCCTCAAAGGACCACATTTATAACATTTAGGACAATTGAGGGACGACATTTACAAACTTGGAAGTACAGGTCCGATATTTCATTTTCGTAACTATTTCAAGAGCTAAAAGTGCGATTAGACGATTCCCTTAAATTGCCACTATTGCTTATAAAAGTTAAAAGTTTCAGCTGGGAAGTTTGAGCATGTCAAACACCGAGGCGAGCATGTAAAACTAAGTGCGCCCCTTGCACTTTTTGACCCACTCTGCCCCAAACGTTACAACCAATTGTTACAAACAAAACAAAAAAAAAATGTGTCACAAATTAAATAAAATGTGACACAAATAATTGTTATTGTCTGTGCGAAAAACAATTTTCTTTACAAATCGTCAGTTAAATTGTTTGTACAAATGGTGTGTATAAATGGTGTGTACAAATAACATTTTTCATATGTCAAACTAGGGTTGTTAACGTAACGAGCTTTTAAAAAACTATTCGTGTTCGAGCTTGGTTTCGAACCCAACGAGTCAAGCTTAACGAGCTTTCAAACTCGAACCCGAGCTGAGTTTGAAGTTCAAAAAATTAATCGAGTCGAGCTCGAATCTAGTAGTATTTGGCTCGGTTCAAACTTGAGCCTATCGAACACCTGAAATTATAAATATAATTTATATATGTCAAAATTTAAATATAATTAATATGATTTTATGAATTCAAATATTATTATTCACGAATCGAATACTTGTCGAATCATTCAAGCATGGGTCTATTAACGAGTATCACCTAAAATTTTAAATTCAAGCATATTTATCGAGCTTATTGAGCGCTCGATTCGAACACGAACACCTATCGAGCCGAATATGAGCCTCACTTGTAAAGCTCGCCAAGCTTCGAGCTCGAACCCAAACACTACTAATTCCTTATCGAGCCAAACTCGAACTTTGGGTGTTCGGGCTCGGCTCGTTAAAATCCCTATGCCAAACGCGCATTGCCTTGGTTAAATACGACTTTGTGATCCCAATATAATCTGGTAACGCAATCACTTTTAATTTTTGTAAAAAAAAATAATACACTCATTTCATTGGATATTGACAATTTTGAATTGGTATGAAATAAGAAACATAAAATTTGTGTAATTGAGGCTTGCTATAAGAATAGAAAACAAATTAAACATAAATTCATTATTTTATAGAAGAATGTGAAGTAAATGAAAAATAAAATTGAAAAAATTCAATGGAATGGATGGAATACTTGGAAAAATACATGGTAACCGTTAAGAGAGTGTTTGCAACTGCTTCTGTTTTTTTTTTAAAAACTCTTTTTGAAAAAAGTGATTGTAGAAAAAGTTTATAGTGTGAGAAAAAAGTGATGTTGAAAAGTAAAAATTGGTAGTGTTTGGTAAAATAAGTGTTTTTTGTGTCATAGAAAAAATAAAGGCACTTTTAACACGAAAACCGAGAAAAATAAAAGTTTGTAGTGTTTGATAAAATAAATGTTTTTTTAAGTAAAAAACTGATAAGTGCTTTTTTTAAGCAGTTGCAAACCAACACTAACCATCACTAGCCGTATTCACATCTGAAAATCGGATCCCAGCCTGGTTTAAAAATACATGGAGTAGCCGCTGTTGTGGATCAATCTCGATCTCTAGTCGGGGGGAGAGTAGATTATGAGAGTTGTGGCGGATGAGGATTCTGCGGCGCAACGCCGCTTCTGCTGCCGCCTTGAGCGGCGGCGGCGGCCTTGAGGAGGTGGATCTGCGCCTCAACTTGTGCTAGTTGCGATTCACATCGGGCGATTTCCTGTTGCAGAAGAGAGATGATTCCTACACAGCCGTAGACGGGATCATTCACCCGACATCGTGCCTCGTAATACAGCGACTCTGCAACATCTCCTCGCTCATCCTCTTCCACTTCCTGTTTCCATGTCAAATTATGTTGTACTCCGATATAATGGTGCCCGCATTTATGTATTATGAAAAATGCTAAAGGTATCTCAATTTGTACTCCACCCTATTTTTGTGGCTCACAAAAGCACCTCATTAAAGTGAGGCAATTCATTTATTGAAGTGGGCTTTTGTGAGCCACAAAAATAGGTTGTGGTACAAATTGGGGGTACCAATTGGGGTACCTATAGCAGGGTTGATCTATTATACTCCCTTAGAGGTGTTTCAGGTGATTCTACTTCTACTTCTTTTTTAAAACAGAAGCTTAATCAGAATAAGTTTTCAAGAGCCGGTCTTCCCCAGTTTAAAAAAAAAACTGAATTTAGAAGTAAATTAGAGCACCAGAACCAATTCTGCACTTTCGTCCAAACACTCCAACTTCTGTGTTTGCTCGCTGAAGGAGTAGAAACAATTTTAAGAATCAGATCCAAACACCCTCTTAGTCTCACAGAAATTTCTCATTAACCATTTTGGGATGTTAAAAAACGTTACATTTTTCTTACTCAACCACAATTATACATTCATATTTTATTTTCACTTTCTTAATAAACTATCAAGTCAATTTGGAAAGTATTTTTTAGAATGAAGGGAGTATATTTAATATTTAAATTAAAATCTTTAAAATCTTAGTGTTTTAACTTTTTTAATTGTACTCAAATTCGTATAAAAAACATGTCAAATAACTCATTATGGTCTGTATTATGACACCGATATTACATACTCCATCCGTTTCAGTTTCTTTGACACACTTTCCTTTTTTGGACGTTTCAAAATGAATTTCACACTTCCCATTTGGTAAACAATACAGTACCAAACAACGTCAAACAGTGTCTAAATAGTGCTGAACAGTGTCCAAACAATGTCCAAACAGTGTTCAAACAGTAAAATTTACCCCTAAGTAAAAAAATCCTTAAATGTTGATATGTCAAACTATGTCAAAGAAAATGAAACGGAGGGAGTATGTAAACTTAAAACAAAAATCAACCGTTAGAAGATGATGTTTCAAATCAATAATTGGTAATTTAATTTGGATACATTTTGCTTGGTGGCATTTAAAAAGCACTAGAGGCCTCATTTTTAAAGTGGTAGTTTGATTAATATTCAAAATCTACAAACACGAATGCATTCAGCTCTAAATCCTATGACCGTTATTATCACTCCCATCTCAAAATATAATTGTTGGATATATAGATCGACTAAAGCATATTAGAGTAATAAATTAAGTAAATGATGTTCATACTGGAGGGAAGTATCTAATAGAATAATAGATCTTTATTGGATCGAGAATATAGGGGCAACTACTATTATCTTCGAGAATATTACGAGTAATAGTTAAAGTATCTAGGAATATTATCAAGCCAGAAGCTGAAAACTACATGAAGTATATGAGGTGGGTGTCCATCGGGGCCGATCTTGAGCCCGAGTTTTGAAAGATGAAATGTAATAGTACATGACTCGAGTCATTGAAAACTATCAATCTGGGACTTAATTTGTCATGAATTTTTTTATTTTTCTATTTTAAAATTTTGAAGTATAATTTATTTTTATTAAACTAATAACTTTTTGTGAAGAAATTCATCAAAAGTTAGTAATAACTAATAAAAGATTAAATAAATGAAAACCCATGGAAATTTAGGTCCTCTACCGACACTTTCCATAGATTATGGATTGATAATCCATTATTCTTTTAGGTCATGAATTAATAATTCAACTATCATGTCAATTCTGGATTAATAGTATTTCAGTATCTCCTAATTAGTACAAAGTACATCTTTACTTACAGGTGAATATAATTCATACTAGTATATATTTCGTGCAAAATATAAATATGATTTATGTTTTAGCCGATTTTGAATACTTTTTAGTTCTTAATTTACTTCTAAAAGCATACATATATGATACATATATCATGTAACTAACTTGCAATATTAGGATGTTTTTACTTGGACTCTAATTTGCCCCAGACCAGACCAGTCCAGACCAGACCAGTTCAGACCAGACCAGACCAGACTTGGATAGTTATAAAAATACAAAGAAACCAGACCTTACCAGACCAGACCAGTTCAGACCAGACCAGATCAGACCAGATCAGACCAGACCAGACCAGCAAATTATAGTCCAAGTAAAAACATCCTTAAAGAACAAAGTTTCAAATTCGAATAACAACATATGAAGAGCAAATTAAAATGTGGATTTATATTATAGAGAAGATCGAAGAGTGTATATATATATACTTCGTATATATAATGCGCATGTACCTGAAGCATCTTTCCAACTTTGTTGGTACCATAGATTCTGTGAACAAAAGCAAATCTTTGAGGATCGGTGGGAGGAAAATATGGCAAAAATATGCAATCTGATGTGCATTTCCTTCTCAATTTCTTGCAAGCTGCACAGCGAGTAGAAGTAGAAGCTTCGGTCATTATCACTCAAATCTAGCTGCTTTATTAATTAGAAAATATTGATGAATAATATGATCGAAATCTGTTCTCAGATTTTTCTGAATCTTTCATGGATGTACGGAGTATTATATTGCTTCGCTTCTTCTAATTTTAATCCATCCTTTAATTTCTAACGGCTAGCTATTACTATTTCTAACATTTCATTTGTTTACATGGTAAGTTACCGGTATGTCTTAATGGTGATACTCACAGGTAAAATTGGTAGGAAGTTCTTGTATGCGATCGAGCTTAATTATCACATCATTTTTTTTATTGTTTTAGTGTATACTATATGAGACCCTTTATTTTTTCTGACCAGTATTTCATATGTTTTCTAAATCACATTCATGATTCATGAGGGTTAGCTTCTACTCTAGTGTCTTATTTTAACAATGTACCCATAAGGTACCATACTTTTGTCCACATGGACCAATGAGAATGTAGCAGTTGAATTATTTAAATCTAAATTAAAAATGATGCGATTCAATCAAATGAATGATAGGTACGGTACCCCATATTTTAGAAAGGTACCGGAGTTGTCACCTTTTAACATTTTTAATTTAATAAAAGCTCTTACCTCCGCCCATTAACATTATACTACTCCCTCCGTCCCAAAATCATTGGCCAATGTTGACTTGCACGTGGATTAATAAAGTAAAAATTGTGTGGTTGAAATTTTTGCAAAGGAGAGGGAATTAACTTTAGCCACATATTCATTACTTTAAATGGAAATGACAAATCTTTTTGGACGGTCAAAAAAGGAAATTTGGCCAACTATTTTGGGACGGAGGGAGTACATGTAAAGTATAAATGTGTTTAGTTAAATCACACGATCAACTAAGCTGGGGTGGACATATTATCGCTTAATTTAGTTTAACCGAACCATATCAAGCCAAACTGAAACTGGATCATATGTAATTTGATTTAAATTTGATAGAATTTCATCCAAACTTTATTAAATCGAACCAAACTGAAATCGATAAAAACCAAACTGAACAAAAGAAAATGAGAAAGCTCTCATATAGGCCCTCCTACTATGTGTGAAAAGTCAATTAGGCCCCCATACTTTGGAAACATATATTTAGTCGTATTATATATAATAGTATCGCATTATACACAAACAAATGTATTATTGTATTATTCGCGAACCGTATGTTACTAACAAAGCTTTCCTCTCCATACAACTCTCAATCATACATTTTTACTTTATTATTTTCCGTGTTATACACTTTTCGAGGGTAATGGAGTATTACTCCCTCTGTTCTATAAATTTCTTCCCACTTATTTTTTGGGATGTTGCAAAAAATTCTTTTTATTTTTCTCTTTGGAAAGTATGTGTGGCTAATATTCATTTATTTTTTTTACTCAATTACAATCATATTTTTTCACTTATTCTCATTTTCTTAAACTTCAATCCAAGTCAAAACACAAAGAATTTTATAGGACATAGCAATATACATGTATTTAGTTTTGAAATAATTTAAATATTGTTGGATGGAGATGATCTAATGATAGAAGTTTAAGATCCTGTTTGGTAATACTTAAATCAAGTGTATTGGCTAATTTTACTAAAATTTATTATGCTTTGGATCAATTGACTGATTCTGCTAATTTATAAAAAAATGTAAAATATATTTTATTAATAAAATAAAGAAATAAATAGTTGAAAAACAGTTAAAAATATCATCTACAATAACTCCATGCAATAAAGTAAAAAAAGTATCTCCAATCTTATTTTTTTCTTAATATTACACAATTCAACTCATGAAATCAAAAAATTATGTAGTAAAATGTTGGTCATAAGCCAAAAAAATAGATTCAATAAACGAATCTATATCTATATAATATAGTAAAGCAAACTCTTCGAGAAACCTTTGAAAGAATTTTTGGCATGTGGCAACATTCTTTATAGGAAAAAGTGACATGAGGCAACACCATAAGGGAAATGCTCTTAAGTATTCCAATATACTTTACATGTATAATATGTATCATCCTCTATTATCATATTTATCATATGTTGTTTTAAACATCATATCTAATATATTTATTTGTTTCTTTAGTTCTTTGTTTGTTTGTTTGTTTGTTTGTATGTTTGTATGTTTGTTTGTTTGTTTGTATTTATATATTTGTAAAAATATTTTGCACATAGTTAAGTAAAATTTTACACTCGAGATAGTACAAATTGCAAATACATTAACAAGTTTTAGTCTCTCTTAAAATAAAATAAAAAATTCTCTCTATTTCTTTTTCTATAAACTCTTGCAGATGCTTCATTACTCTGAGGTTTATAATTTTAAAGAAGAGTAAATATACTTATATTTAATTTTAACATATATACTTGCATGTTTTTTAAATTTTGGATGTTCATATGAACACTTTGGAACAATGGTATGTCACTAATTGTTAATCCCTCCATTTCATTGATTTTCTCACACATTTTTTTCATTCACTAGTTTGTGTAGCTTCAAATATTATAATATTTTTGTAACTCTAAATCATTCTTACATTATCTCTTCTTTTCCAATTTCTATTAATCACATAAAACCTTTTTTAATAATAGCACATATCTTCTTTTTTTTAAAAATAGCACAAATCGAGATCTCAATGGGGCAAATGTTGTATTTAATATTTGTGTAGATCTATTTATTTATGCTAAATTAATATCTAAATGTAGATTCAATATTTTATCTCATATTTACGTATACCTCCCCGCAACTTATGTTTCAGGCTGTCAAACGAGCTAGACTAATTTAACATCAATAAGAAAATGTCTATTTTCTTAATCAAATAATCACATTCTTAGAGCCCGTTTGGTAGCACCAAAATCGGCTGTTTTGGCTGATTCTGCTGAAATTTATGATATTCTGGCTGGAGTGGCTGTTTTGGCTGATTCTGCTGATTTAAGAAAAAAATATTTTAAAAATATATTTTATTAATAAATTAAAGAAAAAATTATATGTAAAAATAGCTAAAATGGTCCTCTACAGCAACTTCAGCCAATACAGCCAGAAAAGTAACTCCAACCTTACTTTTTCGGCTTATTACACAATTCAGCGCGCGAAAGTAAAAGTTACGTGTTTGGTGAAAAAGCTGACTGATAAGTCTGATAAGCCGAAAACAGAGTTCTCCAAACGGGCTCTTAATAAGTTCGTGTACAATTTCATATCCGTACTATCGTATTCTTTTTATGTTTTTTCTGTTTATACTAGTATTTTTTTCATAACAAAACTTCAACACACGCAAGTACCAAAGATAAATCTAATTAGATTTTGCTTGATCCCCCCGACGCCCACTCAACTTAGCAGGCTAGGAGCTTCAGCTTTGTATATACGGAGTACGTATATACCAGGTACTTCGTTGTTACTTTTATTGCTATCCGAAGCTTCTCTGTTCATAAATCTGTGAAACTGGTTGAATCACTTTAAGCCTTTTGTTAATGTAACTGCTGATTGAACTTACATTGAATTGAATTGGATCAATTACGAATGATTCTGTTGAAGTATTTATCCCACACCGGAAAGCTTTAGAACAATAAAACACTATATAAGACTTTGGATTACTTCTCCTATCAGGTTGACCTTTTAGGATGGAACCCCGGGTCTTAACATGGTATCAGAGCCAAGTTCGGTTGTGGTTTGAAAACTTGTTTAGCACCCATGATTAAGGGTAGCTTGTTAAGGGTCTGTTTGGCCCATTTATACACCCCGATATTGTTCAGCCCGAACGGCGTGTTGAAGTATTTATCCCACACCGGAAAGCTTTAGAACAATAAAACACTATATAAGACTTTGGATTACTCCTCCTATCAGGTTGACCTTTTAGGATGGAACCCCGAGTCTTAACAGATTCATTTCTCTACTGGTAATGCCGAGATTGGCCGGCCGGATCCCCACTCGCTAGGATTGTTTAGTCCGTTAGTGACACCTCGTTATGGACTAGAGGAACCTCACCTAAATTTGCTATATCTCAAACCCCTACTGCTACTTGTTTAGGAAGTATTGTTTCCCCTATTCCATTTTCATTTATTAATGTATTTTCTTAGTCTGATTGGAGATACGTTGCTACAGCCTTAATATCACTCCAAATTTTGAGTAACCCAGTTGGATTCTTAAGGTTGAGCAATATAAAATTGTGAATGGGTGTTGAGTAAAAAAGTTCTTGCAAGTCCACATTCTTACATAATGAGTTGTTCAAGTAATAAAACCACCCATTCTGAGGGTAAAGCAGACTGCTATGGTCGAGTGGTTCGGATTTCGCATTCTCTCCCGAACCATAGGAGTTCAAATCTTGTTAAAACCAGTTTTTCCCACATGGGTAGCTTGGTTGGTTCTAGAGCTGTAAATTTGGAACTACAATCAAAGGTTCAATCAAATGGTGCATGTGTGCCTGTGTGGGAGTTGTGCGTCAAAACAATAGCTCCTTTTGCTCAGTGGGGAGGAGTCTTGCCTCTGCAATCAACTGGGTCACTGTGATCCCTAGCTCGGTGTTATCTTTTTATGTGAGTGCTTAAATATACATTTGACCCATTAGGGTTATGGTGGGATGAAACATAGGGCAACATACAATTCTAAGTATGGTGATCTAACCTTTTATGTCATGTATCCCACTTTAATAATTCACCTTTCACTCTTCAGCACAGTTAAATACTAGATGATACTTTTACTTTGGATTTCCTTCTTATTTCTAGTAATAATTAGATATGGGAGAATATACTAAAGGGATATCATCACACTTTGGCTTCTTATTATACTTCTCTAAGACCCATTCATAACATATGTATCTAAACCTTATCTTTAGGTAGTTAGGGATGCTTCGATCGGGGACATGTAATCATATATCAATCGGCATCCCTTCGGTGAGTCTGGTTTCTTTTTTCTCCATCTCGTTGAATTGCCTCTCATTATCTAAATTTCGATTTGACTGTAACTCGTTTCCCAACTATATGTTGCATTTTAGGTATTTAAAATTTTGGTTGAACTTTAGGTTTCTGCCAACTGTTTCTTCTTTTTGTATTAAGTGTGCACTTTACTTTTTGCAAGTGTACAGAAATTAGGTTGCAGCCTTATTTTATTAGCTAACTCCTGTGCAAAATCACTGCAACATTGAAGTTTGAACCTCAAGAGGGAAACGGACTGCCTACACTTTATAGTTTATACTGAATTATTTTATTTGCTTGCTACCTTAATTTTTAACAACTTTATATTGATTTCTTAAATGAGCTTTTGGTTTGTTGTGTATGGCAGCATGGTTATTTGGTTAGCGCAAGAGCAGCTCCGAGCATACTTGGTGCGTGCGTTAAATCCAAGAAATGGAAAATGCATTCAATTGATCATCCGAATCATGACCTAATGTTCAATGATGACGAAAAGAAAGAGTGGGATTCTTGCAGACAAGCTTTCTCGTCATTCAAATTCAGTGCTGAGGAAGAAGACAAGATACTTGGAAAAGCATTTGGACATATCCATACACCATATTGGTATGACGAACGGAAGAAAGAGATTCCACGACTTGAAGCCGTGAATGAAACCTTAAATTACCTAAGGATGAATTTGAACCTCACCGATGATGACATCTGCAAAGTTCTTAAGAAGTTTCCGGAGGTTCTTGGATGTAGACTTGAGGAAGAATTGAAGAACAATGTGCAAGTTTTGGCAAAGCAATGGGGGATTGAAGGTAAATCTTTAAGAAACCTCCTCCTTCGCAACCCCAAGGTGTTGGGTTTCAATGTTGACTGCAAGGGAGATTGTGTCGCCAAATGTACACGCTGTTGGTCCAGGTTTTAATTGGCTCGTTCGATCACTCTTATCATCCATCATTATATCATTTCAATCTGTAGATATGTGTGTTTATGGGTGCTCTTTTTTACACCATTCTTGTTTGCGAGTAATTTTTATGAGATCAGTGAAGTGCTTACCATTTTGGAATACATACACTGTAACCTAGATATAGTATATATTCAATAATATTGTCAAGTTTGATTGTAATGTGATTCAAACTTATGACCACAACATCGGAAGGTAATATAATACCATCACACCGCAAGGTGCTAGGCTAAAATTCAATTTCAAATAGTTGAAACACAAAGAGTTAAAGCAAAATGATAAACACAGTTTCGAGTCACAAATACATTGAAAACATATAAAGCATCATCTATAAGTGAATACCTTAAACAAATATAATATCACAATATGGAAATGATTCTTTTATTACAAGTATACATATGTTGACACAATATGTAACATACCAAACTGACCCCTTCAATGAAGCTCATATAACCCAACTTGAATTGATAACTTCAATGATCTTTTTAGAAAATATATCTTATTTGAGATGGATTCGACATGTGTGTGTTGTGTGTAGCACAAGTAGATCATATAAGAAGTAATTATGGGCACTTGGGGCGGTTGTGGTGAGTCCTAAGGAGGGCATAGCAAGGGCAAAGTTGGTGATTGCCGTAAGTTCCGGGAGGGACGCAATTGCATCTCTGGCAACAGGTCTTGCATGCCCTGTTGCACATCTTCTGTCTTGACGCTTCCCTACATCTTCTTGAGCATGCATAACCACAATCTGCACAATTTATGTTTCTGGTTACACCTTGGTCCTCTTGGGTTGAATTTTGCTCGTCTATTCTATTCTATAACATGACCTTACTAAACAATATAATATGCATATACATTTAAATTTGTATAATATGCACATCTGTATATCTAGTCTAGAAAAATATAAGTAAATCAAGTCCTTTTCTAACCTAAAAAAGGTTAGAGAAAATTATATACATGAAAGAAAATTTGAAGGGGAAATATATTAAGTTTTAAAACCCCTGGTAAGAATAATGACTATCAAACTAATACAGTACTAGTTTGATGAGTATCAAACTAATGCATATATCAAGTTAATGGATTGTTTATAAAAGGTTGAAAAGTATACTTATTGTTGGAGGAGAATGGCTGTTTTGTTGAAGGTCTCCTGTGTTGGCTTCATTAACCTGGTTGCCAAAAAAATTGAGCCAGAAAAGCAATGAAAACTGAAAGCAATTAAATAATAGATCATATACAAAACTGTAAATCTTAGTACCCAAATATTACATAATATAATAGTTACAGACACTCGGATTATATTTGCAAAAATCCTTCATAGGTATGTTCAATATCATAGCTATTTGCAATCAATGTTCCAAAAGGCGTTAGACACTAGTCGGGTGCATGCCCAGCAGCGCCTAGCCGCCTAGGGCCTAGGCCACTGAGCTGGCGCCTAGTCGGGGACACAGAAAATGTATTTTTGTCGATATTTTTGCATATATATGATAAGTAATATTGTTATTTTGAGGGTATAATATAATACACACACATTAACAAACATGAATCATAGAATTATCATATTTAATAAGTATATCAGTATATGATAATTAACCATTTAACGAAGTATACAAGCGCGCACACACACAGTTTTTATCTTAATTTACAATTTCATTTCTTTATATCTGTGGCTAAAGTTAAAGTTATATCCCTAAAAAAATAAAATTAAAAAGTAAAGTAATGTTTGACGAATCTAGACGGTCTAGACATGGATGGACTCGGGCCGGGCGGCCCGCCCCGGAACTGGCCCGGACCGGTCACTATTTGAACCGGCCCGGCCCGGGAACCGGGCCATAGGGTGGTTCGGGTCGACCTGGCCCGCTAGTCATACGGTTCGGGCTCGGGCCCTAGGAATGGTGAACCGGCCCGGCCGGTCCGGGCCCGGTCCGGGCCAAATTTAATTTTTTTTTTGAATTTTTTTTTAAGTTTTTGGGTTGGGCTGGGTATTTTGGGCCATTTGAGGTGGTTTGGGGTGGTTTGGGGGTGAGGGGGGAGGTTGGGAGTTAATTAGAAGAAGCCAAAAAAAAATTAGATTGGACCGAGGCCCGGCCCGGCCCGAACTGGACCCGGGGGTTACCCGGCCCGGTTCCGGGCCTCCCATATCCTGAACCGTGAACCGGCCAGGCCTGAACCGGCCCGAGGCCATGCCTAGGTCTAGGCGGCCGATTAGGTGCTCTGAACGGGCAAATAGGTCTCATAGGTGGCCCAACTAAGTCACCTAGACGGCAGTCAATTAGTCGGGACACCTAGACGAAAATCGACACTTCCGGCCACCGCCTAGTGCCTAGGCGGGGACTAGTCGGACGCCTAAAATGATTTTTAGAATAGTGTTTGAAACAACAAATAAAAAAAGGTAAATTAATTAGTGAGAGCAGTAATGCACAATTAGTCATCAAAGTACGGAGAGCATGAAGTTCTTACATGAGTTGCGGAATTATCAGTGTCGTCCAAGTTCAAAGCCTCCCCTAAAGCCTAAGCATATTATAAAAATCAACTAATTAGTCTAAAAAGGTATATAAAAATGGGAATTACTATTTAGTCTATAAGCCGAATAATCGTAGCGTAGCCGCCCTTTAAGTTGAGCTTGTATTAATTAATTGATTTCCATGAATTAATTAATGTATATATCACCAAAAGTTCATTGTATATAATATGGCACGAGTACGATATTATCATTACATGTGATAAATGTGATATTACATCATTACATGCAACGCCGGTTTTTTATCATAAAAATTTGAAGATGTGTACTTTGAAAACTAAGGGATGTTTATTTGTTTATGTTCGCTAACCCTTCGAAATTGCAAACAAAAAAATGAAAAGTGATTAATTATTTTACATTTTGCATACTTCGTAGTTCGTACATATGATACGGAGTACAAATAAGTAAATGAATACAATAGGTTTGAATAGCTAACCAAAATAAATTTACCGAGTTCGAGTACATATGCCGTTAAGTTGCAGAGCTAGAGAATTAGTATTAGGGGGCGACAGAGGTTCATACTTAAGTATATTTTTATACTCCCCAGACAACAGAGGGTGACACGCAAATCAATAAAAAGTTGTTTATATGATTGATATTGAATTCATAAAATAAGAAAAATTTAGGGTCACACAAATTTTACCAAATTTGATATGAGATAATTTTAGTGGGACAGATCGTAAAGGTAAAACGCAACAAATGTTAACGGGACGGAGGGGATCGAGGACCTTCCGCCTCTCCCCTGACTCCACCACTACTTACGGAAATCATCTTTACTTCTTGTATTCTCATCTACTGTTTCCTATATTCTCTCCCAATTAATTATTTTGGAGTTCTAAACAGACCCCAAAAGAAGAATGCATAGCCAATGAAGATTATGTACCTGTGTGAGAAGAATGACAATGAAAACCGAGTATATTTTCATGTTAGCAGATGAAACATACATATTTTAATGTACCTAAAATATGTGGATGATGAGTGATATGGTGAGAGGAAGAGATGTTCTATTTATAGGAAGAGAAATAAAGAGAGAGAGAGTTGTATTCATTGATGTTCACTTCATCATCTGACTTTTGAGGTTGAAAATCACATGTAATAACAACAATAATGTTGACAAGGAAGATCACAAGAGACACTGGGGTGAGTGTACAAAGTCTGTTTTGTGTGAGATTAAAATTTGCTTTTTCTTTTTTTAATTAACTTGTTGCTTTCATGTGAGCTGCACAGCTGTGGATTAATCAATTTGTGGTAAAAAATTTGGGAGTCTTTACTTTGTATACAAAAGCATACAAAAAAGTTGGAACCCAAGTTTGTGAGGCCACCATGCACTTGACGGCTGACGCTGGGCAAGGGTTAAATTTAAATGTATTTTCTTCTCTCATAAATTAACCATAATCGTACTTCTATTCACAACGAGTTCAATTAAATTTCAATTCACTCACTGTTGAGGTTTATTCCTTTAACCCTTGGGTCCAACACGTAAGCCCAAGAGTTTCGAGTGGAGTGTGAAATGTGAATAAACTAGTTCAACTAACAAGTGAGATGGATTAAGAAACAGTATGTAGCAAGTAAGAGATTAGGTATTATTAATCAGCTAATAACTCCCTAATACAATGCGCTTGCTAAGGCTCGTCGGCCGTTCGTCTTACACGGCAGTAGAAGAGCTGCGAGTAAGGATGTTATAAGCTAGAGTGCTAAGAATAGTAAGTTGTCAACCCCTTACAATGAAATAAATGTTGCTATTTATACTACTAGTGGGTAGCTGGCTACGCTGACGTGGAGGTTTGTGTATGGCTGATGTCCCAACCACCAAATCTCCGGCATTAAATGCGCTTCCCGCCAGAATCTGGGTTTCCCGCCTAGTTGTGGAGACGTTCGTCCAATCCGGATAAGGGGGCCTGCTTCTGGTAATGTTGCGAAGGGTAATGGACCGTTCGTATCCTGGCCCTTAGATGATTTGTCACATGGATTGGGCTGGCCCCAAATGTTAATGTCCTCTAGAGGCGACGTTCGTTGCCGTTTATGATCGCTGGAGGTTGATCCACCTGCCTTTGTGTGGACGTCTGTCTGGCCGGGGGGTGATGGGCTGGCCCCTATGCTGGGCCATTAACCCAACACTCACTACATGTGAATATAAAACTAACTGTCATAACTAAAGTAAAAACTAGAGAAATTTTTAATTGTGATCATAGTCTCATAGATGGGAGATTCCCAAAATATGAGTAAATGGAGTTTGGAATTTCAAAATAGAATTACTATGTTTTTATTCCCGAAATAGGACTAACATGACAGTATTGACTGCCATCTTGTAGGCGTGACTGTCAAATAGTTGCACTACAATACATTTAACATGACAATATTTAGGATGTTTTCCTTTGGACTATAAATTTCTTGGTCTGGTCTGAATTTGTCTGGTTTGGTAAACGTCTGATATATGTGTAATTTAAAACTATGGAAGTCTGGTCTGGTCTGGTCTGGGACTGAAAACAGTCCAAAAGAAAACATCCTTATTTTTTTTCATACAATACAGTAACAACTTCTATTTCAGGAAGAAAAACATAGTAGTTGTATTTTGGAATTTCAAATCTCATTTACTCCTATTTAGGACAATTTTCCAATCATAGACATGTAAAATTTTAAAGTACAGAATATATTGATTATATAAGAGTTTAGGTATGTTAGTATGTGTATTTACAGAACTACTATCACATTTTTTTGTAATGCTTCGGCTTTTAGTTGTTATGTTTCTTGTTAAGATCTGATTATCAATAAAATGGTTATTTGATTTAAAAAAAAACTATCACACTTTTGTTGTCAATTCATGCACATTTTTTTTGTATACAGTTTCTGTATACAATAATTCAATTATGCAAATACTACATTTTTGGTACCCTATACTACACATTCTGGTTCGTTTCTAGGCCGGTTCTGGTCTCGAACCGAACAGTCTATGGTGAGAAAAATGGGAACTGGGAGTCTGAGATCTCAATTTGTGGTCCCGTTACAGTCCCGATCAATTCCAGTTTCAACATGTCTAGGAAAGGTTTACGTTGTTACTTTCGAACTTAAATATAGACTAGCTATCAAATACTGATCTAAAGATAAAAATGTCAATGTAGAATTTGAATGATCAAAAATCATTAATTTATAATATCATGAATTTTAATTTTACATTTTAAAAGTAATTGAACTATTATTTAATTTTATTAAACTAATAAACTTTTGTGATAAATAAATCATCAATAATTAACAATAAAATATATAAAGAATTCAGAGTTATATTTTCAATCATTCGAGTTCTAAATCTATATTTTTTTTCTTTAATGTTCTTAATTGATAGCCAAACATATTCTCTGAGTAGGGGTGGACTGAACCGGGCCGGTTCGGGCCTCGGGCCTGGGCCCGGCCGGGCCTCGGTTCAGAATATTGAGGCCCGAGCCCGAACCGGGGGTGGCCAGTTCCGGGCCGGGCCACCCGCCATTTTTTTTTTTGGCTTCTTTAATTAATCCCCTACCCCTCTTTCTCAACCCCAAACCACCCCAAACCACCTCAAATGGACCAAAATACCTAATCTAACCCAAAACATAAAAAATTTTCAAAAAAAAATAAAATAAAAGTTATTTCCGGCCCGGACCGGGCCCGAACCGGCCGGGCCGGTTCACCATATGGAAGGCCCGGGCCCGGAACCGGGAACCACCGGGCCAGTTCGACCCGAACCGCCGGTGGACCGGGCCACCGGGCCGGGCCGGTTGCTACAGTGGCCGGGACGGGCCGGTTCCAGGTCGGGCCGCCCGGCCCGAGTCCAGGCCTGTCTCTGAGTCTTGAATTTGAAAAGTCCTTTTTAAAATTAGTTCACTCATAAAGCATAAAAACACTATTATCCATTAATTACTCCATTTTTTCATGTCCACAAACCCAACTATCAACTTTAGTTCTTTCCCTTCACTAATTTCTTTTTTCTTATATTTGCGCTCAAAATACTACTCGTATATTAATTACTTGCCTAAAAATTTGTTTTTGTTCCTATGGGAACCTTGACATGAAAGTTTGAAACCAGGTAGTATTATTTTATAACATGAAAATGCATTAGAATACTTTGTTTTAATTCATATCACCAAAATGTTAACCTATTTTGGACGGAGAATATATGCATCCCAAATTCATGTTTCCATTTCAACTTGTCCTGTTGATTTATAATAAAGTTACCTTTTCCGCGACAACACTAAATTAGCATTGCTAATTAAAATGAACATTTCTAGAAAATAAAAACATCAAGTCTATTGTACCATAAAAACCAATTTGAATATGATAGATGTTTAATATTTCACGGAGAATACGACGGCCTAAACAATAGTCATCAATGAGAAATTCAAGAATGGATGAGGTAATATTTTACTTGATTATGAATAATAATAAATTCATTAAGTTAATCAAATTCATATAAAACCACATCTATATTAATATGAATTATGAAAGCAGACCCAAACATATCATACCAACGCAATCTACACGAAAATTTCAATCCATGACAAAGGTCGTACATTATCATTTCGGAGGCAATAACACCATTTAGCATATATGATTATTTGCTTTTTATCGCATAGTACAAAAACTTGGTAAAATAAGTTTTTGTTTTACAATACTTGCGATAATTAATGCTGAAAAAGAACATTACAGCTTTTTACTGAGCCAGAAAATGAAATAAATTCTTGTCCACAGAGATGATTAATTAACACGCAAGTCAAATTTGAGACTGAAAAAAGGGAATAATATCATTGGCTTGACTTTAAAACGTAGCTAGGACTATGCAAATATGCAATGCTACAAAATTGGATACTCTTACACATTGAAGCCTAGTCTGGCCTTCACAATAGTGCCTTCGTTTTTCAGGAATACAAAATCATTTGAGCATGGATGAATGGTATTGGTCATCACGATAACTTCCTAGAGATATTCTTCAATCCAGATCCAACACACTTAAGTATGACAGTCCCAGATGCTGAATCAGGGTTAATAACAAATTTAACCCCCAAGAAATCTTTGATGTGCCGCAAAGCCTCTATTGCATAAGGCGAAAGTTTACCAACACGAACTTTAGAAACATCTTGTGGGCACATGGCACAAAGAAGAAACAGCAGACCCTGTGAAGCAAAAAAAAAAGGACTTCCAATTGTTGAGAAAATATAGAACATACCAAACCCGTTGTCCTACCCACACAGAAATCTAGAAGCAACAGGCAATCTTGCAATATACAGTCCTACCACCCTAATGCAGTAATGCATGACTTTTGAGGAACAGATTTGGTGGTGTGATTTTCAATGGAAATGCAGTCAATTCATGCAATTTTCGACACGCTTTTCGCTATAGGTCACCCGAAAACAGCCGCTTTGTGCTTTAGTATAGGGGTAAGACTACATACATCCGACCCCCCCTACCCCCACCGTTGGTGGGAAGCCTTTGAGGCACTGGGATAAAGATACTGAATGATGATGGTGCAAAACTCAGTCACTAATTTTTTTTTATTGTGTGCAGGAACTTCGTATTAATTTTAGGCAACTAACTGACATTGTAAATTTCATGCCACCAAATCAAACATGGTAGAGGCAATCAATGTGTTGCATATGAAAAATATCAAATGGCATCTAGACCAACGGATTTCAAGTTCAGCTGATTTGGATTCATCCCACTAACGTCTAGGGACTGTTGTGATACTTGCAATCGAAATGTACCAAAATTAATACTTCGTATATTAATACTCATGTTCCTAAATAATACGACTCCTTTTTGGTCTGTACCAAAACTACCTCTTGTTTATTTTTAAGAAGAGCGTTATATGATTCATAATATTTATATGTCCTCTAAATAAACTTCAACTTTTCTTTTTCTTAATCTGTTCACCCGGTTAAATTGTGTGCATATTTAGGGAGGAAGGAAGTATTAAGATACACTCGTATGAAACAAGATAAAAGTTTGGTCTTATAGCTAATTGCCATCTTGAACAGAGGTGTTAACAAAACTCACACAATGTAACTGAAGTGAGATTAAAAAAATTAGAAAAAAAAGAGGAATGGCAGTTAGTTACATACTACAGTATATACCTGGTGCGTGGAATCTACTACACCTCCTTGTTCAATCTCATTCAGTAGCGCAGAAGCAATTTGCTCGCCAACATCCACAGGAGGGGTTAACTCAGGGCTATCTTTATAATCTCCGATGTCAGTATCTTCTTCACCTCTTGCATAAGATACTGCAGTGTCAGCTGAGATGAAGCAACCAGCAGTGGTTTCTGCAACAAGAGAAATACCATAGCCAGGTGACCTGCATTTAACACAAAATGCATTGGATGACATCAGCACGGGTAATTCCATTTTCAGGCATTCATAGATGCCAAATAAGTCATTCAAATCTTTTAAAGCCCGACACGTAGATAAGAAAGGTGAACATACCCTCCAGCCTGTGGACCAGCTTTATGGTCGGTGAATATATGAATGTCAGCAAGTAGCGGATTCAATACACCGCGAGCTGCATGTATCATGGTATTTTCGAACTGCACAGACACTCTGGCAGAAAAGGAAACACCTCGTATTCTCTTCACCAATCCCTCATCAGTCCATATGACTGCCTGAAAAACAATAATTAAGAGGTTAAACTTATGGGAAACTCATGCAGTAAGAGTGGCTTTACTCTTCCATTGTTTCCTCAAAAATAAAGAAGTGAGGCAACCTACAGAACCAAACTCACTTTTAAACTGTCCTGAACAATGGGGACTGACAAAATTACTTCTCCACCCCCATTAGGAGCAACTCCTCTGCTTTCCACTTTCAGTCCCAATCCTTCTGAAGGAACTCCAAACTGCTTCAAAATAGGCAAGGTAGTTGATCTAAAGGTATCAACAGATGGATCCTTAGGGTCATTTGTTATCCCTGCAACAGTAAATTTTCATTCTAATATGAGATTATAAATTGCAAACAAAGAACAGTCAACTTCTCACCTGTGTTCATTATTTAGGGGTGCCATAAATCATCACAAGAATGTGACTTATCAGAGAGGAGAATACATTTAGCGCAAGATCCTTACAGAAAGAAAAAGAAGAAGCTGGGAATACCTTTAAGCCTTATACAAAGAGGCTTCTTTCCAAACAAGCCAAGAACAATCAGCGGCTCCATAAAGTATCCAATGGAACGACTAACACCACAATCATGAGTTAAATTCTTGCCACCCATCACTATCCCCGGTCTGTACCTCAACTTTGTGCCTGTTCAACAATGAAAACTTAAAATTCAGGAGAGCTGTGATAACTGATAAATAAGAATTTCAAAAGAATTAGAAAGACCAAAACACAATAAATTACCAGTTTCATTTATTTCAACCTTGCAGTCATCACAGACTTTCTCGAGGAGGCGGAGGAAGGACACTTCATGTTGGCGGAGTCCAGGCCATGTGGCATCAGCGCGTATGTCCTCGATGAGAATCGGAGTTGAGGAGAGCGTGGACAGCAGCAGTCGTAGTCTTAGATTCTGGCTCCCCTTGAGCTTCATATATGATATTTTCCCCATTGTTCTGTTCTAAACCCTCTCTCTGCAAGGTCGGTCTTGAGAAAATGGAGACCCTGTGCAACAATAAAATTTGGGTCTTCCTTTCCATCAGAAGTAGAAATAAAACATAAATAGGTTATAATAGTAATAAACTACTCATAATTTGTGTTACCATACGAGTTAATATTGAAAATAATAGTAAAAACACAAGTATTCAAAATTACTTTTTCAAGCCTTCTTTTCTTCTTAAACTTCACATGTCTAGATTGGTATTTTTTTAAAACATAATCACTATCACTTATTCAAATCTTCCAATAATCTTATACTACTTCCTTCCCAAAAAACTATCTTTTTGAAACCTTTGACCAATTATATCTTTTTATTGAAAATTATTTATATTATAAAAGTGATAAAAAATGTTCTTTGTTAAAATTACTTTTATAAAAGTTTAAAATTTATAACTTTCACGATATTATACTAATCAAAATCAAGATTCAAATTTTATGAAATGACAAAGTTTTTAGGGACGGAAGTAGTACATTTTTACAAATTTCAATTAGACGTTAATTTAATTTTAACTTAAGGACTTTAACCTAACATACGGTTATACACTTATACCAATTTTTTAAATTAAAAATAAATAGTTTAATTAATGAAAAACACCAAAGCCCCGTTGGCCCTAATAAATAATTAAAATCAGCAACTCAATCACAATTCACAATATCACATGATAATGAATAACATTAAATGATTAATACAAAATAATCGCAACAAATTTTAAAATTCAATAATCAAATACTCACCCTGTCCGGAAAAGATTTGCCAAAATAATTTAACTGTGAAATTATTTAAAATACTTTCAAAGTATATTATATTTTTTAATAAGAAATTATTTTGAATATGAAAACTATATAAAAGCGTTCCTTATTTTAAATATTTTCATAGAAGTATAAGATTTATAAATTATATACAAATATAATAATTAAAATCATTATACAGAAAAGGAAAAGTAGGCAAACCTTTTCCGGACAGAGGTAGTACTATTTAAAAGTTAAAACAGAAAATTACCTGGAGGCGCAGTCAGCCAGTCGTGGTGCGGAGGTGCCGGATTGCCAGGTGCGGACGTGCGGTGGCGAGTGGCGAGTGGCGGACCTACACCGACTACACGGCTACAAGGACTGCTGGACGTCGCTTGGGACCTGAAGTGGCCGGCGACTCGGCAGCGATTGAACGGCTTTGTCGATTCGGCGGTCAGGGGATGCGGATTGCTGCCTAGCTTTACTCCGTGTCTCCGTTGCTTCATTCTTTTGTTGGCCATTACTTTTCATTTTTCATCTTGGACTTGGGCTAGTGACCTAATAGGCTCTACTAAATTTTCATTCTTTTGGGCTTTCTGTATTTTGGGCCATATACCATTACCTGGACCGGCCCTATCAACTCTCTGAGTCCAACTGCTGAGAAACCTGTGTTTGTACAAGAAGATATTGGGCCTAAGCCCATTAACATTTTTGTTCCATGTCTACTTCCATCCCGTCCAAACCTCACAAAAAAAATAGGGAAAAGGGACAAATAAGCCCTCGAACTGATCAAAAAGTGCAAATCACTTCTTATATATGAGTTTCTGTCCGGCCGTTGTCATTTGGGGCGGTTCCCGGTGGCAGCTTTCAGCTTTCTATGAAATTTTTTTAGCACCTTCCTCATTAAGTCTACTTTACTCATACCAAATTTCAGCTAAAAATAAAATCGGGAAGGCAGTCAAATGATTTGCTGAAATCTACTGCGCAGTTGTCTTCAGAGATTCATTTGACTTCCTTCCCGATTGAATTTTTTTTATCTTAAATTTGGTATGGTTAAACTAGACTTAATGACGAAGATGCTCAAAATATTTCATAAAAAAATTCCACAGGGAACCTCCCCAAATGACGACAGCCGGACAAAGCCTCCTATATAAGGGGTGATTTGCACCTTTTCGATTAGTTCGAGGGCTTATTTGCCCATTGTTGAGGTTTATTCCCGAAGATCCGAAAGCCCAACACAAGCTTTGGATATTGTAGGGATGTTGAGTTGGTTTAAAGAATATAGTAAATATAAAACAGTGAGATATTATCCAACTCAGGAGCTTACTTGTATTCAGTAATTTTGCGATTACACCGAAATTACCCGGACGGTAGGTAAGTACAAGAATACAAGAATAAGAGAAGTGTTTCTACTTGCTAAGCTCTGAGTATTGAAATGCTAACCCTTTATAATGATCTAAACATGGGTATTTATACTAAAATGGGGGTGGGTAGGGTGGACACGTGGCCGAATCTGGTAGGCTGTCACCCCTGCCATGTAAGCACCCATGCCCCCACTTGCAGCCGCCATGATCCAGCATTAAATGCGACTTCCACTTGCTGACTGCCCGTTCGGGTATGGTGTTCGGTGAGTGGCACCCTGTCATAGATGTTATCTTGTTTATGAGAAGTATCCCGAACCCCGTTCGGGACCCAGCCATTTGGTGCTTTGGCGTGATTGTTTCCTGAGATGCTCCAAGTAGAAGATTCGCCCCGAATGCTGATCGGGAACTCTGGGCTGCTTTGGGCCTGCCACTCCTTTCCGGATTTGGGCCAAGGGATATTGGGCCTGGACCCAATATCCCAACACTTGTCCCCCACTTCCTATGTCTCGAACGGTAGTGAGTGCATAAGGAAGTAGAAGATTATCGCCCGAATGCTGTTCGGGTGAGTATCGGAAGGTATTCCGCCGGTTCCCGAGGTATATTCTGGCGGTTATTTGCAACTGCCGTTTCACTTCTCCGATAAACGTCATGATTACTTGAGAAGGACTCTCCGCGTGACACGTCTCCCCGTCATCATTACTGGAGACGTGTCTTTCTCTGATTGGCTGTTGATTCGGCGTGACAGAGTATAAGTAGGCTCTTCTGGTTTTGATTCTGGGTTTCGAAATTTTGCATCTCCGGCTTAGTACTCAGCCTTCTCTCTAGAGCTTTTTCTCAGTTCTTGTTCAGGTATTTTCTGGCCTTCGTACTTCTCTTCTCTCTTCCTTGTTCGGTCATTATGGCTAGGGCTGGGCACGGGCCGGGTCGGGGCGGGTAATGCAAAATAAAATGGAACCACCGGTTCCATTATACGGTTCGGTCCGGTCCGGGTATTACAATTTTCAAAATAGGAACCGGAAATTACCCGGCCCGTTTGAAACGGGTCGGTCCGGTCCGGGTTTTACGGTTTCTATTCTCATGTCTTGAAAATAGTAAAAACTCACGAAGTTCCAAAAATCAATAATTAATAATATTGGACATTAGCAAGTTTCAAAATAACAACATAGTGGTGCACATATAACACAAGCGAACAGTCCAATACTCCATAATTTCTTGTATATAAGTTTCAAACAATTAAAGAAATTCCAAAAATATGCAACATAGCCTAAATACATATTTTCCACTTGTATTTAAACATGTTGTCTAACATCACATATTAAAGTGATTGCTTTTTTTTATATTCAATTTTCAGTATTAGCCAAAGTTGACACATACATGGTGGGTGGTAAACACAGTTTATATATTTTAATAACAATATAATAAAAAAATATAACAAAATCATCTTTAACAAATAATTAAATTCCTTAGAAAGGAATAATTCAATAACAATAAAAAGTAATAAGATATTTATGAAACATTTAATCAATAATTTGAAAACAAAAGGATGTTACTGCAACTCAATTTAAAATCCTACTTCTAGCAAAGGAAACAAAACTATTTCAAAACCGATTATCACAAAACTATTAATAAATTAATATACAATATGTATAACGGGCCGGGCCGGGTACCCGTTATTTTTTAATTTTGGAACCGGTCCGGTTCCTTAAAAACAATTATCCGACCCTACCCGGACCGTTTTATGGGAACAAAAAATGGAACCGGCCCGTTTTGGACCCGAACCGCCATTACCCGGACCGGACCGCGGTTCCAAGACCCGTTTGCCCACCCCTAATTATGGCAACCCGTCTTCGTTCCTCTGAGTGCTCTACCTCAAATGCTGATCTTCCAGAGGATAATCCTAATGCCGCCTTAGAAATTGCCGCCATTCCTGCGGAGGTCCCCGCTGATGACGCTTCTCCTTCTCGGACTTACTCCGATGGTACCTACTCTGGGGATGACCTGGAAGCCATGGAGGCTGGTCCCCCAAGCGGCGTTTCTTGCCACAAACTCGAACTAGGGCTCATTAGATTTACGCGGCAGAAGCTCACGGCCCAGACTAGGGCCCAAATTCAAATGTTAATTCTGGACTCGGTGGGCTTCCGTCTTCAAGCGGGCCTCCACCCAATGCGCCACTTCCCTGGGATGGTTGTGGTTCATTTCGACTCCCTTAAGGCTGGCCTTAGGTTCCCACTTCACCCCTTCTTTGTTTCCCTGCTAAACTTTTACAACGTAGTGCCAGCCCAAATTATGCCGAACTCCTATCGGGCAGTGGCCGACTTTATTTGCCGTTGTTCCGCCATTCGGGTAACGCCCACTTTGGAGCTTTTCCATTACTTCTTCTCGGTCATCCCTCAACAGGCCCACGGGTTTCTAGTAGTGAGTGCCCGAATGGGACATATCCTGTTTTGTGAGGCTCCTTCTTCGATCAAGGGCTGGAAGGACCGGTTCTTCTGCCACGTGGACAACCGTCGTACAACCCAATAAGAATAACCGCAGTTCATCCTTACCGAATTGCACAAGACGTCCGATAGATACATATGCCAAAACCGATTAGTAAACATGCATAACAACATCAACATACAATCAAACACATAGCGGAATATAAGTGTTTAATAAGAACCCACACAAGGGTAAAACAAGAGCTCGCAGGCTCCATTAATTTATAAGTCAAAATAGTTCCATGAGCATTATTTAATTATTTAGAAATAGAACCGGAGGAAGCATGAACCACGTCTTCTCTCCATTGATCTCCCGAGCAACGGGTGCAGGAAGTAAGCTCTAGCTTCAACCTGAAAGGGTGGTTCCCCCGAGGGATCAGTACTACAGAAAAGTACTGGTGAGGGCAAACTGTATGTAATGTAACTAACGTTTCTCACGTGAGACCCTCAAAATAGGGTGATAGTACAATATGGGCATAACTCTTAGCTACCCCTTTTCAAAACAAAATGTATACATATATACATATGAGTAAAATATCTGGCATGTGGGCCCATTTGTCTTTCAAATCATTTAGGCGTAACAGCCTCATTAAATTCACCCTTCACATGTCTTACCCTCGAGTGGGGTCACCCGCAGGCTAACTCACCCGATATCAAAATATAATTAATGTGGGGCCCTTCGGACTCCCATATCACGGACATGGTTTAAATCAATTCCTAGACCAAGGAAAATATCCTATCGGGAACTCGTTCCCGATCAAGCACGTTTAATCATTTAAAATCATTACCTTGAGGTTCACCTACCTCGAGGACTATCCGTCCTTACTATCATAGTTTTCATTTCCGGGTTAACCCCGCCTTGAGGAGTACGCATACACCCTCATCCTATGTGTAAATTGATGGAGGTTAACACACCTCAAGGACTACACGGGCCCTTTTTACCTATATGCAATTTGATGGAGGATACCACACCTCAAGGACTGCACTTGCCCTTGTTACTTATGTGTAATTTGCTGGAGGATACCACACCTCAAGGACTACACGGGCCCTTGTTACCTATATGCAATTTGATGGAGGATACCACACCTCAAGGACTGCACTTGCCCTTGTTACCTATGTGTAATTTGTTGGAGGATACCACACCTCAAGGACTACACGGGCCCTTGTTACCTATATGCAATTTGATGGAGGATACCACACCTCAAGGACTGCATTTGCCCTTGTTACCTATGTGTAATTTGCTGGAGGTTAACACACCTCAAGGACTACACGGGCCCTTGTTACCTATATGCAATTTGATGGAGGATACCACACCTCAAGGACTGCATTTGCCCTTGTTACCTATGTGTAATTTGCTGGAGGTTAACACACCTCAAGGACTACACGGGCCCTTGTTAACGTTTGAGTGTAGAGGACTCCTCCTGGTCCTACAGAGTATTATATAACCTTACTTGGTCCCGGGTATTCACCCGCCATGTATAATCTACCACGTACCTCGCCTGGTCGTGGTCTATAATTTCTTTACTAACGACTAGTCCAAGTCTTAGCGTTTAAACCGTATTCCAAGCCTTATCATTTTAAACATCATATTTCATGCGATTCCATGCAAAATATTCATATATAGGTTGGCCAGAATTAATCCCACGTCGAACCGGGTCCGATTTGGGTTTT